TATATCTATGGTGTAGACAGCATCACTGATTATAATGAGTTCCATAGTATTTTGTCTCGCCGCGCCACTCGCGTCCGGTGTAGACACGGTGTAACATTGGTTTTGCTTTGTTTCACAGAACTAATAGTTGCCTGGGTTGCGTACGTATGTGTGAGCTATCAAAATAGGGGCGAGACCCTTTTGGGGTAGGGGCGTGTTTGTTTTGGTGATTTCAAATGTCAACATTGGCTACCAGAAATCGCTTACCCCACTTTTAAATTAAGTCACAGTTATGAGAAATGAAGTTACAATCTTTAGATGTAGTCACAATTGTGAGATATAAAGTCACAATTCTAAGAAATAGTCACAATTATGAGAAATAAAATTGTAAAATATGAAGTTGCAATTGAGATTTAAAGCCATAATTTTGAGAAATAAAGTTGTAATTGTAAAATGTAAAGTTGCAATTTTGAGATATAGTCGTAATTCTAAAAATTAATGTTGTAATTATGAGAAATAAAGTCACAGTTATAAGAAATAAAGTTGTAATTATGAGAAATACATTTGTGATTTGAGAAATAGTTGCAATTGTGAAATATGAAGTTGCAATTGTTTTAAGTCGACATTTTGAGATGAAAAGTCACAATTTTGGTAATTTTCGGAAAAAGTTTCAATTCTAAGAAACAAAGTCACAATTTTGAGAAACAAAGTTTTAATTATAAAGAAAATGTGTAGCTGTGAGACATGATGTTGCAATTGTGGGATATAAAGTCACAATTCCAAAAGTAAAGTCACAAAAATGAGAAACAATTTAAGGCCACAATTACCTTATTATTTTTTCACACTGTACTAGAAATGAGCTTCCATAGTTTTAACTGCATGACACGCCAACAAGTAATAAGGACTTCTGACAGTGTGATTAATCCTTGGCTCGAAGAAAAACTTGCTTTTCCCTCTTTTTTTTGGAAGGGAATAATCAAATCCATCCATTTTATTGAATTATGAACAAGCCGCTCAGTTTTCCGTCGCTAATGCTTCCCATTTGCTTTCTTTCTAGGCGGTCAGAGGTAATGCTTTGTGAGGGTGTTGGGGAAATCAGACTCTGAATGTTTCATGTGCTTTGGGACTCTGGTGCCTCTCCAGCTTCGGTGCCCTGATGCCCTGCCCTTGTTGTGGTGGCACCTCGGCTCCAGCATATTCAGCTCAAAGCATCCCCAGACCATGTGTGTGTGTGGTATTTATTTTGGCAGGGTCATATTCGTTTATTCTCTTAGGTCTCTGTGCCCATCCAGATGGCATGTCCTATAAAACACAACAACTGTTTGTGAGGAGAGGAGATAACACATGGTACACTAATGCTGTTGAGGCATGCTAAGAGAATCAGATTGTAACATGATGGTATGCTGGAAGAAAAATATAGAGAAAGAACAACATAAAGGCATGAGGACAATGATCGTCTCTGCTTCTGGGCAGGATTCCATCCTTACCATGTCACTCTTCTCACAAGTAGCCTTGCTGTCTTGCCTCCTCTATTTCTGTTGGCCCCCTTTGTGGAGAGTCAGGAATTCGGGCTCTAGGGACTTAGCTGTTGCGAGCCGCTTTACAGCACAGGAAAGTATTCTTTAAAATTTATTTTCTCGTATTAACCTGTAGCACTCATGTGAAATCATAGTCATCCTTTTCGTCTCAGCTGGTGGGTAAGCAGTTTCACCTATGTGAAGAAAGTGATCAATACAAACTGCAATGCTGAGTGAGGAGCTTATCTTGGCGTGATTTTTTCTCAGAGGTTTGATTATAGAATGATTGAAGGGAATGGTATGAAAGATCTCTGGAAGGTGCACAAAGTGAGGAAACACTCGAAATCCTTCATTGCGCTCACTACAGGCAGACAGAGAAAATTTTGTGGATGGTAACATCTCATTGGTTTTCACACGGCTGTAAAAAAAATAGACAGTAGTTCCCAACTGCACTCGACTGTGCAATTCCTAGCTGACACACTCACTCATGTTTACTGTCTTCTAAAGGCCCTTTAAATATTTGGCAGAATAAAGATTTTAAACAAGAACAAGATTTTAAATAGCAATTGCTATGGAAAATTCACATGTAGATAATAACCATGTACTTGGTTTTCTTCATTCAGTGATGAAAACGTGCCAACCAATAAGATTTCGGCTTCGGGTCAAGTGTACAGCCAGTCAAACGCCAAACATTCAAGATGGGTTGTACGTCCATTTATACAACAAAACTTAGTTGACAATATGTAGGCTATGTTAAATTAGCCTACACGTTGTCATATTAACAACCAGTCAGTAAATAAACGAATGTAAGTCTCATAAAAGTCAAGTAGCCTACACATTGTAGGTGTGTGAAAGGATTTAACATTCTCAGTTTATTTCAAATCAGGCGTTTCGGTAAAATGGCTCGCGGTTTAGCGAGTCAATAAACTAGTAGCCTAACAGCTCTGAATGAATCACTGACTTTGAATCAGTTCACATGAGTAATTTGTTCGCGTTTGACATCACGACTCGCGCTGTGCGTGCATGTTTGAACCGCTGAAGCGCACGAACTGGTGACGACTTTGGACGCGTACCAAGCTTTACTTTCGCGACTGAATTTTAAATTATTTCCGCACATTTTATTATATGACGCATGGTGCCCCCTTCAGTTTGTAGCTCTGCTTTTGGAACAGCGTTCCTTCGCGTCGGTAGAACGCTTGTTTATCGGTCGATAATCTCAAACGTATTTCCATCTATCAAAACGCTAACTATGTGCTGAATAAATTTCAATGGAAATTATAAAATACTGAATTGAAATAGAAAAGCTTTTCGTTTGGACGTTAATAATTGTGTAAAAATCATTAAAGAAGCTTCCATTCCATTCCTCCTCCCCACCCACCCCCGGTAATGATGAACTTCATTAGAGCGCAATGGTGAAGTTTATCGTCTGGAGCAGAGGACATCTGTTTTGCGTGTGGGAGAGACACAAGCAGTGAAGTGAGACAAGGCAGGCCACGCATGATCAGTAGAGAGAGGCTTTGATCAGACAGACCCAACTCCCCCTCTCTCCTCTGCTGCATCAGAAGGGAACATTGGGACCATCAAACCAAGTCTCTAGATGAAGAAGAGCAGGAATACCAAATGTTGAAATGCACCAAGGTGATTTGAATCTGTGAGGATCTGAGATGGAGATTTGAAAGTAAGGGAGTTATAGTGTTGGTTATAGAGAATGCTTGCAGAATGATGTGGCCATGACGAGGACCTATGTGTCTCTTGCTTTCTGATTTATGCTTGTGTATGTTGCTGTTCTTTTGAAGTCTCTGGTGGCTTATAGACAGGGCCTCCACAAGAACTCTTTGAAGCGCAGCATGACCCAAAATGTAAAGTCTAAACTGAGTTTCATCTGGTGCTTATTGCATGTTGGAGAGTGCATGCAGCTAAAGACAACATGGACATTTATACTATTTACTTACAACATTTAAATGTCCCTGGTCTTGTTCTGCACAATTCATTAGTGTATATTATTTTAAAGAAAAAGAAAACAATGTTGTTTTACACAATGTGTGTAAAAATAAAATTAACCAATTAAAAAATAAAATTAACCAATAATACTTTTTGACCCACACAATACATATATATATACAGTGGGTACGGAAAGTATTCAGACCCCCTTAAATTTTTCACTCTTTGTTATATTGCAGCCATTTGCTAAAATCATTTAAGTTAATTTTTTTTCCTCATTAATGTACACACAGCACCCCATATTGACAGAAAAACACAGAATTGTTGACATCTTTGCAGATTTATTAAAAAAGAAAAACTGAAAAATGCTCAGTATTTAGTAGAAGCACCCATTTGATCTAATACAGCCATGAGTCTTTTTGGGAAAGACGCAACAAGTTTTTCACACCTGGATTTGGCGATCCTCTGCCATTCCTCCTTGCAGATCCTCTCCAGTTCTATCAGATACATCACAGATATTTTTTATTAAATTTCATAAATCATAAAAATAATTCAATAATAATAAAAAATGATAAATATATATTTAGAATTTTATTATTTAGAATGTTATTATTTAAGGTCAATTTTGGGAATAATTAGTCTGCTGATGTGGCTTGAAGAAACAGTAATTCATTATTGATATTAAAATAATTATTATAGTAATATATTACCTTTATTTAAAAAAATAAACACTTTGAAATCACTTGATTTTTTTTTAAAGGTCACCATCATCTGCCTCAATCTTGAGGCTTGAGACTTGTTGACATGATTAGTAGCAAACTGCAAAGTGCTTTAGAGTATTGTCATAGTTTGTGGACAACAGGAAGCGTTTCTTTGTACCGCCACAGACTGTATGTCTCCATATTAAAGTAAAGCAGATGAAAGAGATACATATCCCTTAATGTGTAATCATTTACCTGCATGCACTGTCCCGACTCCTGAGTGTTCTTCCAGGAATTCACAGTCCCTCTTCATCCGTTGAACGCAGAATTACCCGTAATGTCAAACAGCTGTCAAGAGAGTGAGCCATGACTGTCTCAGACTTAGTGAGAAAGAATGAGCAGCAGCAGTAAGTGTGCAATTCCTCTTCCTTGTTGATGTTTCTCTGCTGTCTGTTTTGTTATGTTGCTAATGGTAACCCAATGAAGCATCGATTGACAGATATGCAGCATGGAAATCAAAGAACTCGAAGATCGCTTTTTGTATATACGAAACCTTAAAAGAGACTGACAGAGTCTTCCAAATGTCTGGGAAACAGGCTTTTCCTGGATCATTAAAGCAAAAGAAGGCTCTTAAATTATTGCCATGATTTCTACTAATCCTGTTCCAAAATCCACCTGATATGCTGTCATGTGTTAGACATTTCACTCCAGATGGGTTTATTTGAAACCCAGACATCTTTTTTCATATGGGCCATAAGGTCACAGCTGTATATATTTGATATGGTGTTAAACTAAGACAGATCCTCCAACCATCTTTACATGCATGACGAAATTTCTCAGAAGTATTTATCTTTGGGCCTTTATGGGGGCTTTATACATAAGGAATCCTTGCGCTTTCATCTAAATAAAGCTGGATAGATCACCAGATGTTCCTTTCACAGGATACTATGTGTGCACTTCCCAGGTCAGAGGTGACAGTGGCTCCAAAGATGTCAGACAGTCACTGCGGGACATTCAGCGGCAGAACCAATTGAGGAGTGAGCCGCCTTTGCCTCGCCGTCATAAGAGGAGATGGTCACAGATTCGCTCAGAGGAAGTCCTACCCAAACCTGCTCCACAGGAAGAAGAAGAACCGTTCATTTTAGACCTGAAGAACTTCCCTGACCTTGCCAACGCAGACCTGGGCTCCCAGAACCCAAACATTCAAGTAAGAGCAGGCCCAGTCTCACCTTATTGTCATTTTGATTGCTTCAGAATCAAGTTTCTTCCTGTATATACATGCTTTTAAAGAAGTAATACAGTGTTTACAGGCTCTTGGACCACAAGAAAATGAGGTAAATGAACTGAATCAGTCATTTTGTGTCTTGGGGGTCTTGGGTTTCTTTCATTGTGTATCTGTATATCTTGGCATTAGTTCTTCTAAAGACAGTTGTTAATATTATGAGGGTAGTTTGTTATTCCAGATATGTTTAACATCTCACCGTTCCCAAAACCTTGTCATTTCTTTCCTTAGGGTGAACTAAATCATTGTATAATGAGTTGGGTAATGGATTGATTTTACTTGGCAACAGTTTGTGGTGTATGTAATTAACCTATGCACTCATTGTTTCACTGTTATTGCTGCTGTGATTGCAGCAGGGACTTCAGGTTTCTGCGCTGTTGCTGGTCGTGTCACAGCTGCTTCTAAACCGGAGAGGCCTCTTAAATTACCCCAAGCGAGACCTTTATTCTGGTGTAGCTCATTTCAGCCGTGCTGCTTAAACTCCTGCACAGTGTACCAAAATGAAATCCCGAGAAAATCCAAAAGGTGAAAGGCCACAGTATTATTTTAACAGGCACTTTTAATGCTCCCTCCAAGAGCAGATCCCAATCTTGAAATGTTTTTACAACACCGGTAAAGAAGGGATTTTTATATTTTTAGTACTGTTATGAAATTTATGTGTGTAAGTGGACTTGAGAGGAAACGAAGTTAGACTTCAGGGAAAAAATACACAGGAGATCCCTGGTAAGCAAATTGACTTTTATAATAGGGAAAATTCAAGAGTCTTCCAAGTGGGACGGGTCCATCTTCCATACTTTCTAGAAAAAGCTATTTTGTTTTAATGCGTCTCCAATATGGTTGCTGCCAATGTAAATGTATGAGTTACTGCCGAGTTTAGCAGGTAATGTGGTGAACGTTATGATTTTAAGACGTCAGTTTGAAATGAACTCTTTCTTACGTTTTTGGTATATTTCATGTTATCTTCTTTTTCCATGACTCATTCCTAGTGGCAACAAATTTGATAAGACCTTGACAAAGAAATGCAGCGGAGATTTCTTAAACTGTGTCTGTGTTGCCATTAAATTTAAATTTGCCATTTAATAGACCTCCAGTGATCTAAACCTTGGATCTTTTTTTGTCTTCAATAGTGACGTCTTGTGTTCTTTGGACATAGAATACAGTCATGATGATTAGTTCAAGGAGGAGGTGGAGGCCGACTGTTGTAAACAGTGCAGTTACAGTAGCGTAATCACCCGCTCTAAACTGCTCCGTGCCTTTATAAACAGCTGCAGCAGCCATCAGATTGTTACGCTGTAGGGGAAATAAACAACCAGTCCTTTGTCTCGGCCTGCTGGAACACTTGCTATCGTTTTCAGGTCTGCCTGACTCGGGCACTACGAGCCCAAGCATGCAAAGAACAAATCTGTCACCTCAAAACATCCTTTGAAATAAACACACAGGAGAATAGAGAAAACTTTGAATATCCTTTGAACATACTTAACATACATGGCTCTAAAAAAGCACAGTGCTCAAGGGGGTGGTAGAGTTACCTTTTAAATGTCTGCGCAATTAAACCCAATATGTTGTATGTTCAGTGAAACATATACAGTACTGTTTGGGGTCATTTTGTTTTTAGTGTTTTTGAAAGAAGTCACCAAGGTTGCATTTATTTGCTAAAAAAGGAAACATTATTACATTATTATTAAAATAACTGTTTTCCATTTTTTATGTATTTGAAAATGTAATATATATCTTAGATGGGAAGGCTGGATTTTCAGCATCATTACTAGTCTGCAGTGTTACATGATCCTTCAGAAATCATTCTAATATTATAATTTGGTGCTCGAGAAACATTTCTTATTATCGATGTTTAAAACAGTTATGCTGCTTAATATTTTTGTGGAAACTGTGATAATGTTTTTTCCCCCAGGATTCTTTGATGAATAGAACGTTCAAAATAACAATTTATTTGAAAAGGAAATTTTCTGAGTTCTTATCACTTAAGATCAATTGAATGTGACCTTAAAAGGAAATCTCTATCTATCTATGTATTATAATTATAATATATAGCATATATATTGTATATAATTAATCTAATTTGCTTAGAAAGCATAGTCAGACTTGGCGTTTCTCAAAATGGTTTCTAGCTGGTCCAAACTTGCCTCCAAGCCTGTCTAGAAGGTTGAACCTGGCTAGCTGGACCTGGTCAGGCTTGTTTGGGCTGGTTGTCCATCTTGAACTGGTTATCAGGTTCCAAAAACAAGGTTTTGTAGAACTACAACTTTCTGATATGCATTTTTTGCAGATCAACATACCAACTTGTATCTCTCTACTAGGTTACCATTGAGGTTGTGGAAAACCCACAGATGGAGATTGAGATGGACCTCGCCAAGGAGAGCAGGAATGACTGGTCCTTGAGCTCAGAAGAGTGGCCAGGCCATAAAAAGCTCTTCTGGCCGCTGTTCTGGGAATACCATGACTCCAGTCAAGAGGGTCCTGGGCAAGGCAGTCTGGAGGAGAACGGAGAGGACCTCAGTTATGAGGGAGAAGATTCACTGCTGAGTGGTGTGGGTGCAGACTGGAACAGACGATGGAAGGGCTGGGACTCCATGGACAATTACGGTAAGCATGGGTAGTTTTTGCCAGTGAGAGTTTGGACGCATCCCTGTTGCTGTGCAAAAGTGAAGAAAAATCCTAATAACTGACCTGAATTAAACTGTCTTGATGTTTTTTTCCAACTGTGTAATTGGAAACCCTGAGTTTATAGTTTTTGTTTTTGTTTAGCCTCGTTATCGGAAGTATCAGCGCTCGTGTTGGGGCTTCTTGGAATGCCGGGGCACATATGCCTAGCTGATTTCCTCAGCAATGCGGGCCCCAGCCTCCTCTTTAGGTCTTGACATTATGATTTATGCTTTAAGGGTTGCACTCAAGAACTGCTACATAAAAAAGTCATTTCTGTCGCCACTTCCAAAGACTTTCTCTTGATGCCTATCAACAGTAAACAGTGAAAGGTGACCCGGTGCTGTGTGTCCTAATACATTATCAAAATATTAGTTGTGGTACGCATGTTATCTCACCACCAGACTGCTTCTTTGTCGGTTAGGCAGATCATTACCTCAAAATGTTTACATACAGGGCAAATTGTAGTGCTGAAATATCATTTTAATTATATCCTTAATGATATCCTTATCCTTTTATCCTTAAATAGCAGAACACAACCTATCATCAAGTGCTCTGAACCTTTTCAATGTATATGGTGAAGAAAAGATCACAGTGAAAGTATTGAATAAGGGATTTCAGGAGGAAACTCAACGCTACGTCTGGTTCACATTAGTGACAGCGGGCTTGAGCATCAGCTTTGTGTGTCTGCTGTGAAGTTGACACTAGTGCTCGGTAAACGTGACTATTTGAAACCTGGGCCCCGAATCTTGCTAAGAGCAGTGTGGGGCCTCTTTGCTGGCTAAACAACTAATATTTGTGTTCAATTAGACAGTAGATTGAAAGAAGGGCCAGCATGCTTGGGCTGACAAAGAAAGCGTCTGCTGTGTTTTCATCTCATGACTGGCGCTTCGCTGTGATTCACACAGCCTAGCCCTTTGAGTTCTCTTTGGAATTCATGGCAGTTCTCAGGCCTTGGAATGAAAGTGTTTTTTGCCTTTGTTTTGTCTGTCGTTTCCATTTTTCCGCACCAAAGTTATATTCACTGCCTGAGGAAATTGTTAAAGCATTCAGTCACTCTTTTATGTGTGAGACATTGAAAAATTGGCAAACAACATCAAATTGTTGGGAAGTATGATATTGTACTCAAAGCTGTTTTGGGTAATTTTTCTGCCTCTAGGAGGCACCAGTTAATGAATTAAATAATGACTGTTTCATCCCAAATCATGAGATTACTGTTCAGACTACTGTTCACTAGTTGGTGGTCAGAAAGAAAAAAAATGCTTCTATTCAGCAAAGATGCATTAAATTGGTCAAAAATGACAGATGTTTTTTTTTTCCAATTTTAAATAAATTATGTTATTATTTTGGTTTTCTATTCATCACAGAATAATGCGTTGCAGTTTCCACAAACATAATAAGTAGCACAACTGTTTTCAACATTGGTGATATTAAGAAATGTTTCTTAAGCACCAAATCAGCATATTAGATTTCTGAAGCATTAGGTGACACAGAAGACTCAAAATTCAAATACATTTTAAAATATATTAAAATAGATAAGAGTTCAATCTTATCTATTTAATATATAATATATTTATAGATAGATAATAATATAATTTATGTATTATAATAGATTTAAATTGTACTGTATTTTTGATCAAAGAAATGCAGCCTTGATGAGGATAAAATCTTTCAAAAAATATGTTTTTTGGTATTGTGTGTTACAATATATGTTTTCAACATGTTTTAATTTAAGTGATGAAGTTAAGCAACGCTGTGTTTTAAAAGTATCTCTTTAAACTTTGGTAGCAAAAACTGTGTTGTGTTTGGTTTTTATATTGGTGCATATACATAACATGATTAATGTTATTCTTCTTTGTGTTTATTTATTGGAAAACCTGCAGTAAACCTGTCTTGGTTATTTTTAACTAGACTTTTTAACTTGTTTATTCTTTTTTGATCTATCAGCCCTGCTTACTATACTAATACTAGTTTCTGCATAGTAATCAGGGATAGCAAAAAGTTTGAACAGAAAAGCTTCACACATATAAGCTCTCATTGGATTGTTAAACTAAAACTTGGGAGTTTAACTTATGCTGCAACGGCTTTAAAACCAGAATCTACATTTATCCTTTAACCAGCTTTATTTCACAAGGGCATTTTTCTTCTCCATCTGTCATTGACTTTCAGGGTGATCCTCCATTGGGGTTGTGTTCCACCATGTTCTGTCAGCTTCATTAGAGAGAAAGTGCATTGGTGGTGTGTGGTCAAATCCAACACCAAAAAAGAAGCAACTGCAGCAAGCTCGCTGCGGTCGTGTCAGCAGTAGAGCCTCTGAGGATGTGGGTACGAAACCGAACCGGCTTCTCTCTGTTGCCCCAGTGGATCCCCTGCTCTAAAAGAGACCTAATGAGTGTACTAAGAGCAGGAGTGTGTTGTGTACAAACAAGCTTGAATGAGAAACAGGGAAGGGCGAATGAGCCACATTATTAATGATGTGGTCTGCTCTAGAGGCGTACAGTAATGAAGCGCTTTTCTGCAATTATGGTGAGCCACAGAATTACAGGCAGGCCATGTTCGGCAACAGCTCAGTAGAATGTTATAGCTTTATGTCATTTTTTCCTCTCCACTGCCTTAATAAAAATGATTTACCACAGTTTTACTATAGTAACTCATTACAGTTCTTATGGTATTTTAGTTGAAACGAAGTTCTCTGATAGCAAATATAAGCCGATCCAGTGTGTGTGGTCTCGATCGCTTGTGTTGCTTTCATTGGAAAATGAATGATGTCTGTTTGCTTTGTCACTGCAAAGCAGTGACATTGTGTGACACAACACAATATCAAAATATATACAATGTTTAATATACAGTTTTGTGCAGATTTGACACTACGAGGCTGCCAAGCTCAACTCTGCTTAAGCATTAACAAGGATATCATTGCTGATTTGAGCAGAAATCGCATTTAACATTTTATTATGCCTGGCTTGGACAGAGTGTCAGGCAAGCGAGGCAATCTACTTTTTTAAGTTGTAGTCTTATAGTTTCTAAACATACACTGTCCTTCAAATATTTGGGGTCAGTAAGATTTTTAAATGTTTTGAAAAGAAGTCTCTTATGCTCACAAAGGTTGTATTTATTTGATAAAATACAGTAATATTCTGAAATATTATTACAATTTAAAATAACTTTTTATTTTAATATATTTTAAATTAAAAATGTATTCCTGTGATGGCAAGCTGATCATTTTATTATAAATAAAATTATTTATTAGCTATTATTATTGCGGTTAATTATTATTAAAGTTTTTTGCCGCTTGAAATTTTTGTAAATTGTTCTTCTTCCATTGAAAAGTTGGTATGAATTGAACAAAATGTAGTGCCGTTTATGCTTAAACCAGGGGGGAAATATTCTAATGGAAAAAAGAAAAAGAAACTTATTTTGATACATATTCTCTGGAAAAAAAGTAGTCTTATTATTTACACAATATTGTTTCTAAAATTACAAATTTTTTAAATGGGAAAACACCCAATAAATACCAATTAAATTGAAGTATTCAAGAATTCAAAAATGTTATTCAAACAATTTGGAATAACCTTCATAAGTGGTTATATCATCAGTGTTTTCTTTTCTGTGACAGTACGAGTGGGCGTCTTCGTCATCAGAATGTGGACTCTGAATTAGCAACAACACCTGGTAACCAACAACAATGCAGCCAAAATACATTAGCGAGGAAACAGTGCACTTATTTCTCTCCCAATCTTCTCTCTCTCTCCATCACTACCGCCATGGAGTGCTTTGAAACTTTAATCTCTTTAGCATGGTGGTGGAAAGAGAGCATTGTTGGAAAGCGTCTAAGCTATTAGGCCTTGCCTTCCTGCTGAAGTGTTTGTATTGGCTCAGTTCTCACAGCTCTAAGCGGCTGACTTTGCCTCTGACATATTTATTACCAAAAAAAAAAGCAAGACTGGCCTGCCAGGAGGGCCCACATTTTGTTCATTAGAGAGATTATATTTTACAAAGAAATAGGCAATATTAATTTAGTTGCGCATCATTAGCTTTCTTAGGCAAACAACAGAGAGATGCACTTACCATCTTGGTTGTTTTTGGATTTATTTCTTTGTCAATCCCAGTATGTTGGACGCTACACAGAGTTCTGATGCAAGCAGATTGAAGTTGAAGTACTTTCGGTGAAGATTTCACTTTTAGAAGCTTGTTATATAGAGTAAAGAAATTCCTTTAGCATTATTCTCAACTCATTTGTGGTCTGACCTGCATTGCATAACATTCCCACATGCTGTGTGAGAGGGTAAGCTCATATTGTGTTTTTTTTTAAAATTTCATGTTTTTTTTTTTTTTATATATATATTTTCTCTCTATTACATCTACAGATGACATAATTCCTGTGACAGAACCGACTCCTCATGAAGTGGCAAACAGCACAGAGCTTTTTGGCACAGGTTGGTTGGTTGTTTTTTTTTGTGTATTTCTGTGGTGTGGTCATTCAGCAATTCAGTATTCTGGTGGTACCGTAGTCATTTTTATATGTGGTTAGGGTGACCATATGTCCTTTTTTTTCAGCAATGTTCTGGTTGGGAGTTTTAAATTGCCAAAAACGTTTGGTTTTGTTTTCCTATTGATGTGCTCTCTAAATTATTCATACAGTATGTGTATGCGTATTTGCATTGTTTTAACTGTTCTCTGTAGATCCCATCTTCTCCCACACAGTGACTAGTCAATTATGTACAATGCCTGCACACAATTGGTCAAACTACGTTTCAGTCATTACTTTCTGCAAGTATGAAAACAAGAGAAAAAAAGCCCAAATCTGGACATTTCAGGCATTTCAGAAGAAAAGAAGGTGGTATTTGCATAACACATGTCCAGAAACCCATTACAGTACCAGGTTACACTGTTCAAAAACTGTTAGGACCAAGGTAACTTTTGATTTTGTAACTGTAACTATTGCCATTTATATAATATCTGCAACATTATACTGCACTACTGAATCTCTTAAAGGGGTGGTTCATTGCGATTTCACTTTTTTAATGTTAGTTAGTGTGTAATGTTGCTGTTTGAGCATAAACAATATCTGCAAAGTTACGAAGCTGAAAGTTCAATGCAAACGGAGATATCGTCTTTTAAAATTCTGGCAGTTTAATGCCTACAAAAACGGCTGGTAGGGACTACAACGAGCTAATTCCCGGGTTCGTGACATCACAGACCCAGAAGGGTTCAGTTAATTGCATTTCAAGCTCCTAGTGTGTTCTTGTATTAGTTGAAATGTTTATTGATTTGTTTTAGCTTTCATTTAACTTAACGTCTAGTTCAAAACCCATTTAATCAGAGTGGTTGTAGAAACTTCTCCTCTGAGACTGCAGTAGGAGGAACTCTGTGGGAGTCCTGTTAGACTGTAAAAGATCTGACGTTCAGATTTTTCACAAATGCTCCACAGAGAGTGTTACTGAGACCACAAAGTAAAGAGTCCTCTTCCAAAACTCCCACTATTTGCTTTGGAGTTTTTTGTTGGTCTCTTACTTTTGGCATTGAACATTGAATGCAATAGCTCTTTTCATTTAACCGCAATAATAATTAAAGTAGTTTAAAAACATAACAGGATAAAGTGTTTTTTTTTTATCTCTTCACAATGGAACATAAATGTTAATAACAGCTATGCTTCAGCATGACCGCTGCCTGCAGCACATATTTTTTTGTATCTTTATGTTTTGGCAGCAGAACGAGACAACCCCTATTGTGTGTTAGGCCATGGTTCTCAATATGGACATATTTTCTTTTGGCATAATATAATCTATTCTATTTTTTAGTTATTAACAAAAGTTATATATACAAATATTTTTTAAAAATTACAAAGTAATTATTTTTGCCACCACTAATAAATTGATCTGATTACCCTGTAGATGTTGACAGCTGTGAGAAGTGGCTGAATTGCAAGAACGACTTCCTCCAGAAATACCTACACCAGGTCCTGACCGAATTACCCAACTGCCCTTGCGTCTACCCATCCGAGGTGGTCTACAGCGCTGTCAACATTTTCGATAGGAAGTTGCAAAAGACCTATCGCTGGCGAGATGCCAGCGGCCCCAAGGAGAGGCTGGACATCTACAAGCCCTCTGCAAAGTTCTGCGTTCGCTCGATGCTATCCTTCGACAGCACCACGTTGGCTGCACAGCATTGCTGCTACGACGATCACATGAAGCTCATCACTCGAGGCAAAGGGGCCGGAGCCCCCAACCTCATCAGTACGGAGTTTTCCCCGGAGCTTCATTACAAAGTGGATGTTCTCCCATGGATCCTGTGTAAAGGAGACTGGAGCCGTTTTCATGTGGTTCGGCCTCCCAATAATGGTCTACAGTGTGTTGAGAACCCACAGGAAGATGTCTACATGAATGAACTAGAGGAGGCCAGGGAGTACTGATCCAGACCATGGATTTCACATCAAATCAACCAGTGTTTGCTTAATTCTGGAGAGTCCTGTGGTACAGAACGGGCGTCTCACCAGTTTTGAAGCCTGCTCCTTTCGGATTGGGCAATTCATTCACAGATCTAGACTATTTAGTTGATACTAAATGGAACTCTAGAGAGATTCATCTGGAAACTAAAGCTTAGATACTGTCACAAACTGTTTCATACAGCCCAACTGCAACAACACTGGTTTAACATGTTGGTCCAAAGCTCAGATTGGAAGATCATGATGCAATTTTCTGTCTTCAGTGATGTTACGTACATGCTCCAAACAAAGTTCAGTAACAGTTCTTCAATGGCATTCTCTGGAACAAGTTCACTGTATTTTCATTGGATACACGTTTGTTTTCCTTAAGTGTCCTCAAAGACTCTGGTCCACCATTAAAGGAATTCCAGTAAAGCTGCTAGAATTGTGAGATATTCAAAAATGCAACAGAATGCCGATTTTGTTGTCTTTAGACCTGAAGCTCAATCCTGGCCTCGCTCCAGTCTGTGCGAGATCAGTCCAAACAAATCAAACTCAAGCCGCACCACTCGCAAACCGATTCAACAAATTTCTGAGAAAAGTCCTTCTCTTTAGAGTTTGTATATTGCTACTCCAAATATACACAGACCTTGTGTCATTGGATAGATATTTATGCAGGATCATTTGACCTTTGACCTACCTTTTTGCAGAGAAAAAAATTAAGGAATCTGAGAAGCGATAGGGAACCTTTTTTTGAACTTGCCTTTGAGAAGACGTCCCTCAGCAATGGGAGGCTTGTTTTTTAAAATCTGAAGTATAATTGGATCCCATTCTGTTTTCCTTTTTGCCTTTCAACACATCTCAGCTTTGTACTGAATGCAATATGAGACAGCCGCCTGATACCAGTGCAGGGGGCTGTCGGAGCTTGGTTGATGGATTGAAGTCTTCCATTAAAGGCGAGGTGAAGGTAACACTTGTCGTAAACGAACATCTCTTTAAATACAATGGCTCTTTCAATGTCTCGGTTTATCCTTGAGTCCCAGTCAAAGCCTAGAGGCTTGCATGGGATGTAGTTTGAAGGACCTAAGCCGCCCTTTTCAGCACAAGTGTTATCATGATCTCTTTGTTAGATGTTGACACGGAATGCTGGTGATTTGATTTCTAAAGTCCCGCTGACAGACGACTGTTCCATGTAGCAATAAACATCCACCTTTGATAATATCATGAACTGTGCTTAAAATCACAATGTAGTCCTATGAAAACTCAGTTCAGACCTTTTACTAGATAAATTAAAAAGAGTACATTATGTTGCATGGATTACTGTTACTGATGCGAACCTGTAACTAAAAGGTCCTTGGTTTAAATCCCAGGTTAGTTACTGCAAGGTAAAGACTTCTGAGGTTCTTCAATGCAGCTGTGATTCTGAGCAAGGTACTTTTGATACAAAATCATTTATGGTTCATGGTTCATCTTAAGATCTACATTCCTCTAGAGTTTAGTTATAACTCTAAATAAACTTCTAAAGCTGAAAAGGATAATCAAGGTATTTGCATTCGCTTGAAAAATACAGACAGGTTGCAAGCAACATTAAACTCTGCAGGAGAAGATCTCCAAATGTAGGAATGAGCCAAGTGCACATTAGCATCGCTTATGATCCCTGTCAGACCTGAGCAAAACCGTGAAGATGATTTCACTGAGATAACAATAAATGCCAGCCATGAAAATGTCATTCAGTCCAGCTGTGAAAATGTTGGAAGCATTCAAATATCCTGCTCTTAGTGATAGTGTATTTACCTTAAATATTACAGACATGGATTTTATGATCTTTGTGGTATGTGCATGGGTTCTGTCCAACCTAGGCTCATTAGAAATACGTGCCTCTTCCTGCATTTTTGCAAAACTTCAAAAACTTACCTATGCATACAGTTCACTGCAGTTTCCAGCTGAAATGAACACTGGTGGCAGTAAAACACCAACAACTTGTATTCCTTTTCACACAAATGATTTCAGAGGCAGATTATCGATTAATATGAGCTTGATTCCTTACACAATACTGTGTCATGATGAACTAAAACACTTCTACCATAGTGAATGATTTGTAAATGAATACATCACATAATCAGCACCATTTGTATGGCTTTTTTGATGTAGTAAAATTGCTTGGTTGCTCACCTGGTATTGCATTGAACTTGCAATGTGGAGTGTTCTGGCACAAGTCCTGAACATACTAACATGGCATGGTTGCTTCAGAAAACGCGTTTTTATCTTACAGTTGTTTTTGTTAACACTATTGGTTAGGTTTAGGGTTTAGATGATGTGTTGTTTAACCTATATTGCCACTCGCCGTATTTTCATTTCCAAACTGCCACAATATGTACGTACAACACCCAAGGCAATAAAATGTTGACAAATTTACATTGTTTAATGCCACTCGATGGACATTATGCTTTAAAGGTTTAGTGAAACGTGCAAGAAACAATGCAATATTTTGCAGAAATATCACCACAGTTTGTCCAGTGAGCCTGGGTTGGTTCTGTCACAAGTAAATCGCAGTGTCTGCATACCTGAGTTTTGATTTTGTGTGTCAATATTTTTGGTGAATGTGGGTATTTGGTTGACAAAAATGTACAATTTGGTATCTTTTTCTAATTAGCAATACTGGTTGTTGAAGATTAGTTACAATACACTCTTTTCTAAGTACATTTGATGGTAAGATTTCACCTTTCAGAGCTTCAAAAAGAAAGGCACTTTATTTAAATATTGATATTGGAATATATATGTGTATATATAATCATATATTGAATTATACTTGTACAATTTACTGACTTTTTAAAAATGTTATTGTAAAGGGATGAATAACAAATGCTGTTGTTTAAGGATATTGTATGTAATGTAAAATTTTGGCATGTCATTTTTAACTTCAGATTTATCGTTGTACAGTATTTATTGCTTTTGATTTTGTAACTCATTGCTATGAAGTGGATAATCAAATAATTCTATGCACTATATGAATCTGAGTTATTTGTCTTATAGGGGATTTCTGGTCTGTGAAAAGAAAAGTGCCATACCACACACCGTTCTACTTCAATAATGCTTCTAAAGTCATCTTTCTTTGTATTAAACTCTCGGTGACCAGATATAATAAATGTAACTTTGATAATGTCATGTGTGCTTGAACTGAATTACTGTGTCCTGGGTATAAACATGTAGAGTTTAGTTAAAGATTTTTTTTTAGTAATAGCAGGTGAATTACATTCATAACAATATATGAGCAACTTTTTTGAGTAACGTATGCTTAAAAAATACTTTATTGTACTGTTTTAAATTTTTTATACCGAACAAAATGTTAGTTTGAAATCCAGAACTATCACCTCGATTTTGGTCAACCCACACCCTTCTTAAAAGCTGTCTTATTTTTTAGTAATAACCTCAAAAATGGAGTGTAAAATGGTTACACATCTCATAAAGGTTTTAAATAGCACAAAAACATGAAGCGCGGACAGCTGTCACAGCAAACGGACACTAGCACCAGTCGTTTTCAGTTTGAACATGATGATGGACTTAACAGTAGATTTGTGTTCTCATTTTCCACTGGATATTAGGTTGCCTTTAACACATGTGCTGCCTGCTTTTCTCAATTACCAATTAAGAGGAAGAACATTTCGTTTTTGGATGAAAAGAGGCATTAGCTTTAAGTCTAGCTAATGCAAAATGTATTGGACAACTGGCGTAGTATCATGTCTTTATAAGAACTACGCTTAAAGTTACGTATCGGGTAACAAAGCTGAGAAAAGATTGAAGCCCTGAAGGGTTTTTGCAGTGCTTATCATTGAATAGCAATCTTGCTATGCAACAGCCATCTGCTGCACTAATAATCTAATTGCCTTCACGTTAAGCATTGCTTGAGTGCTTCAGCCAGGACACAACCTGAACCAAGTCCAAGTCAGGTGCTGCAATGGAGGTCAGTAATATTTCCCCCTCCCCTGCTGTTCTTTGGGAGCCCACTTAGTGGATTTCCTCAGCGGTTATGGCTGGTCTGCCTCAGATACATTTGTCTCTGACATTAGTGACTGATTCCCTTTTCCTCATCCTTCAAAATTTGCAGCACATTTAAAAGTAAGACGGGACAAAGAGCTTCTGAGATCTGAATGAGACCTACAACACCTTCACATATTCTTGAGAAAATGATATAATCTAATTTATTCTTTAGTTGTGGGGGGAAAAAAAACTTTTACAGGAAAAAAATAAGTCAGAATTGCTTTAAACATTTACAAAAAGCAATAAACCATCAGCTAGAGTTAGTGGAAACAGTGTTTTATTGTAGGTGTGATATTTTCAATTGAATACTAAAAAGGCGTTTGAAGCCCTTTGAAGTGAACATGGCACCCTCTGGATCTCCCACAGCTCTCGTCCTAATGTTTCTTTTCTATCAGTGGAAATAACAAGCAGAAATAACACTCGCTACAGAGTTAAAACAGAATATTTATTAGAGGTCAGCCCTCCATGGCTCCCACGGTGAACTCAAAGCTTGGCGGCTTGGAACTGGGTGCAGGGAGTCAGGCAAAGATAACTGTACCTGTATTTGGGGTTGTTTGCACAGAAAACACCCTCCTCCCAGAGAACCCCAGGAGGCCAGAGGGACGCCTGCTCTTTGTCCCTCAAAACGAGAGGAAACAAAAATAAATAGAGGAGTGAATGGTCACAGGACATTGCTCAAACATAAAGACCAGGCTCTAAAGACAGACAACCAAATTGGGTTATTTCGTGTACGACTATGGCCTTTGCTCTTGCCCATACATTATGAATAATTGGGAAGTCTATTTCCAAGCATATGTCTTCTCAATGTACTGCAAACCATTAATGCATTAGGAAGCATAATTACCAGTGAACACATAATGGGGAAATGGTTTAGGGGCTCATGAAACAGATCCGTTTAAGTGTACTTAAAGGGGTCATAGGATTTTCCACAAGTTGATATGATTCTTTAGTGTCTTAATGAAAAGTCTGTAACATAGTTTGATTAAAATTTCTCAATGGTAGTGTAAAAAACACCTTTTTTACCCTGTCAAAAACAGC